CACACACACACACACACACACACACACACACACACACACACACACACACACACACACACACACACACACACACACACACACACACACACACAGTGGAGCAGCAACTCGCCACTAAGGAGTTTAACCGTGACACTTTAAAAGGGGAGTGATTAGTAAAATATGCATAAATGAAAAGATAGAATGCTAACTAGGTAACATAAGATAAGAATAAACAACTTTAAATTATTTGTTATTGGTTGTGATCATATTCTAAAGATGTTTGGATTATTGAAAAGTACACAGCTCCCTTTCATCTGAGTGCTGAGATCTGTGTCCATAAATTCATGTTGTGCTCAAAGTGCACCAGATTGATGCATTTCACTTCAACATTTAAAAACAAATCTGCCCGGGGGTGCATGCCCCCGGACCCCCCTAGAGTATGTGAAGTCCACCCCCAAATAAAGCAGGTTAAATAAAATAAATTGCATACATTTTCTTTTAGTAAACACTGAAAACGGGTCCCACAGACCCAAACAGCACACAAAGTTTAAAGGTAAGCATATAATAATGTTAAAATGTGCTAAATATATACACTGCAAAAAACAAAAAAAAGAGGAGTAAAAGTAGCTCCCGACTTGTTTTATTTTTTGAAAGTAGCTCTCATCCTAAAAAAGGTTGGACCCCTGTTATAGAACGATAAATTTGATAATTTTAAGTTTGGCCTACCATTTTATTGGAGCGATGAGGAACAGGTGGGGCTTGAAAAGGCCCACCTGTTCAAAATGGGGAATGACAGAAAAAGTTTGAGAACCACTGATGTAAATCTATTCTAGTAGACCTCAACAATGGAATTATGATCAGTAGAAATGGCCATGACATGGGACCTTTAAACTAAATATGTTTGGCCTGAAAAATCATGAGATTAAAGATATCACTATTCACAAAAAGAAATTAGAATGGACATTTCTTTACTTTTTTACATTTTATAGACCAAAAGATTAATTTAGTATTGATCTAATAGTTGGCAGATCAAGAGACAATGAAATGATAGTTACAGCCTTAGTAGTGTTGATAGCAGACCCTTTGCAATACTTAAAGACAATGTTTTACAGAGCAGATTGGATTGAACATATGGACTGCTCACTATGCAACATATACAATAAATAAATATCACAAGGGCAAAGATGAGGTTTATGTGTCCACTGCCATCAATTTTGTCCCGAGACACACCTCTGACTGACAGTTGACCTGTGAGTCTCAAATGTCATAACATTAATGCTGCGTGGCCTGATGCATCATTGATTACTCCAATTATAATAATCTGATAAGATTGATTCAATGATATGAAATCACACAAATGGTGATTATCATTATGGTGACTTCATTCACTGAAGAGATTCAGCTATATGGGTAGTACAAAAACTTTGTATTGTGATAAAGTCATTCATCGTGATTCATTTCTTCCGATGTTGGCCAAATTCAGATAGTTCCACAAAAAATATGAGCAAATATTTTTAGCAGAAGGCTGCACAATTTGGGAAAAATACAAATTATTTTTTACTTATATTGCAAGTGCAATTTGATTTTCAAATATTGGAAGGATTTAAAAATGTGTAATAATAATAATAATAATAATATGCATACATTTTTTATATTATGGAAAAACATTTTTAAGGGGTTCTATACAAAGCATACGTCCTTGTCTGACATTAGAGTTATTCTAGTTCCAGCCTGCATAATAACAGCCTGCTAAACCTGAACTGAATACTACAGCTGTTCATCATGTCAGTAGTTATTTACACCTGTGCTATGCCTGCTATGACATGTCTGAGAACTTAAAAAATGCAACAAAATCTATGAACTGACGCAATTCCAGATATTCAAAAATGTTTACATGTGACTGGATGCCATAACAAGCTTTTCTAACTCACAGCTTCACTCTGGAATGAAAGCCAAAGCAGTGCTTGTGAAAGTAGGTCAGGTCAACATTAACATAGATGTTAATACCATATTACATCATACCCCTCCCTTCTCTCTCTATCTAAAGTGTTGTGTTACTATCCTCTTACATCATGGCTACAGCCAACAATCCTCCTCCATAAGCTCCCTCTCAGCTGGCTTTACTGTGTTCTGTCAGAATTACATAGACCTAACAACCTCCAGCTTTCAGAAGGACTGACGTGACAGGCCAGTAATCCTGTCAAGAGCAAATCTGAGGCTAACGTTAGCTCTGTGACAGGATGGGTCGTGGGAAGCATCAGCAATTGACTCAGCAGTGTGTGTCTAACACATTGCGTACTGTTGTCTAGGTCAAGTCTTCACCAAATACCTGTGCTTAAAAGGAGATACAGACTTTAGCAGCTGATACAACGTATGTTACTAACGATGTTTAATCAGCCACAATGACTTAAGGTGGATGGTTACTACGTCAAATAGCTTTTAAGCCTAGCTAACAGGCTAGCTAGTCATTCAGTAACTCAAGCTAACTCGTACACTGACAACAAGTGAAGAGTTAGCCAGGTGCCACATCACAACACCCTGTTAATGCTAGCTAGCTGGCTAACATAATGCGCTGTAGCAAATGTAACCCTCACGTTTGTCTGGCAGTATGTTACTTTGTATGGTTAACCTTGTGGTTATCATATTTTGAGAAAATAGGGAATATTAAGTCAACTTACCAACAGACCACAGCTACACATAGCCACACTGACACAACTCGCCATAACATTGGTGTCATCTTCATCCCTCTCCTGCCGGGACAGACATCCTTACCGTACTAACAAAACGCGGTTTATCCTTTTCGCCCTTATGAGGACTTTTACAAGCCAAATGCACCCGTTGTTTCCTGTTAACTTAGCTGATGGGGGTTGTTTTCACGGGTGAAGTGTGAATGTGATGCTAGCCGCTGTCGCCCACGCACACAACCTGCTGTGTAACCGTCCAATGAAAAAGTAGAGGGGCAGTTGCGCAGTTCAAACTGAGCGTGTGTTTGGGAGCGCTCGTTTCGATGGAACCAGTTGCCCCGAGTGGGTGGTGCTAATCGTAACACTGCCAACACTTGACGGTTGGACACTTGGACGGTTATAGGAAGCGTTCCTGCATTTAAATGATATCATAATTGTGAAAATGATAGCTCATGATGACAAAAAAGACCTCACAATATTATAAATACCATTGATACATGAGACACCGTAATATGGTATTTCGTGGGTGGATAACGCAGGAGCAGTCCTACCTGAACGGTGGAGAAATCGGTGGCATCAAGTTAGAGGATGTTAATTAGCACTATTTAAATGTGTAAATATTGTTCAAAACGACCCATAATGTGCAAATCAAAGCATATTGCAATATATATGTATATCTTTTTGTCAACCTATTAACCTGCAATAAAAAGTATCGTCATGTTCTCTTATTCGGCCACTTTGCTTAACTGAAATTGTACAGTAGGCTACATGATGTACAGCAGGCTCCAAACTCCAAACCCGATTAGAGACAATAATGCACGTGCATGTTGAGGTCAATAGAGGGAGCTATCTACACATAAAAAAAAACTGATGTGAAACCCCCTTAGTGAGGGCAAGGGACAAAACACATTTGGACATTTAGAACATACACCTTATCATCATCTAACATGCCATCCGTTGTTAAATCCATCCCTGGAGTTCCTGTTTTATTTCTGATCTAGCTCGATGCAAATTAAAACTCTATGTATGTGCAACAAAAAATAATGTCACATGACAGATTTGATTCAACTGGGCCTCTGCTGCCATCACGTGGCTAGCAGTAATATATGAATTTATTCCTCAGTAATCCCATTTCTTGTATTTTTTCTCCCACAATTTGCAGTATGCACAAAAGTCAAACAAGTGAGCAAGAAAGCCATCATCGCATGCATTGGTTTTGATTTCATTTGGTTTCTAAAGCAGGAATAAAGATAAATACTTACTTGCTGTCAAGGTGTGCAGTACTGCCTCGCCGCAATGAAAATTATGGCTAAAATATAATCCTATCAAATGAAATTGAAGCCGTCATTATTACTCTTAGTTGTTTTTCGGAAACCTACGGTAAAGATGTTTACTTTAGATGTATTAGAGACACACAACAAATGCATTGCTGCAATTGCAATGCAACTTCTCTCAATTTATTTTTAACATTTCAAAAGTGAAATGTGTCAGAAATGGTTCTGTCAGAGCTACGGAATATTGAATCATCCAGATTTGTGGATTTGTAAAATGTTACAAATAGCTTTTTTAAAATACAAAAATCCTGAATGCTTAAAAATGACTATTTGTCTTTTATAAACATACATTCATTTTATTTTTGTATCAATGATTAAGCAAGCAAGACATAGCGTATTGTTTTGAGTAAGTTATTATTTTTGCTTCACCCTTGTCTACCTGAATATAAATCCTAGTGGCTTCAACAATAAAGGCCCCTTTGACAAAGTGAGACATTATGAGGAAGAAGTTTATTGAGGAGCGATACAGAGACACAGAAAAGAACAACTGATGCATTCTCCAGTTTACCATTATGCCCTCTGCTAAACAAAGCCATCACACTCTCTACAACTGGAACCGTTTCGATGTTGGTCTTCTGCAGATTCTTCTTCTTCTTCTTCTTCTTTTTTTCAACTATCCAATTCTCTTTCTACATTTAGCTTTGGCAATATAGAATTTTATTTCATGCCGGTAAGGCAGTCTAAATTCGAGAGAAGAGAGCATTTAGTGAGTAGAGACAGAGAGAACGATTAAAGCGCTAGGATCCTTGATGAGGTCTTAATAGTCCACAGGTACAGTATCTCCTTATCATTACCTATTTACATCAGAACACAGTTTAGGCCCACATACACAATAACAAACTGACAGAGAAGCACAACACCACCTTAAGCTCGGATTGAGACGCTGACTGGCTTTCGATGGCTGTGAGAGAAAAGGAAATAAGAGAGGCTAGAAGATTTGAGGAAAGAGAAAGAGTGCTAGTTTGTGATGGGCATGGAGTTGCATGTTTCAAACCTGAGAATAAGGCTAAATTGTAACATGTAAATGCATGTTCGTTCGTTTTTCCTCCCCACGAGTCAGTGTCTGAATCTGAGCTTAAGGCTGCAGGGGTCACAACTTCACCATTGATACAGCACAGGTTGACACCTATGACGAGGTTAAATGCATTATTGAGGCTGTTTCCATATAGAGAATACTGAAGGTGCTCCTCAGCCTTGCTATGTATGTATGGCTGCTACTACAACACAGGAACAACTCACAAAAGTCCAACATTACATTTATGATTCGTCATTTAACAGCTTTGACCATGAGAACGAATACAACTGAAACGCCAACGAACGTGCAGACGGACAGCACATGCATCCTCACACACACTCATACACAGGATTACTCGCGCACAAACACGCACACACACTACCTTCTGTTCCTAAGAGAACATTGAGCTGATAATTAACACTGAAGGGTGGGGCGTTATACAATAAATTAATACAATACTAAATCATACCCGAGCCTACATATAGGCAAATTAGTCCCTGCCCCGTATACACACACACGAAACGCACGCACACACACTCTACATACACACACTCCCATGCAATAAAAGCAGCTCATGTGCCATGCTGCATTTTGGAATGAGTAGGGCAGTACGACTGCTGAGCGTATTGTCATGTAGAAGCAGCAAGTGGGGGATTGTGAGGGGAGAATGGGGGGGGGGTTTCCAGGGACTGATACCGGGTAGTGGATCTGCTAAGCAAACCTGGGCCACAGGCGAGCAACAAGCGCGCATACACATACACCACAAGACAAGTACCATACTGTACATAGATATATGGACATCGTCACCTGGCAGGAAATTGAGGGTCAAAGGGGTCAAAGACGTCAGTGTCTGCACTAAAGGAGGGACCAGGTCGGCAGAGCCATGGCTAATAGAAGGAGGAAGAGGATGGAGTGGATGAGGGGAGGAGATAAGTGTATGAGGAACCCATTTAGATGTTTATGGTGGGGCTTGTCTTGTAGGAGATGGAGGGGGCCGCCGGCTTGGGTAGAGAGTGATTGATAATGGAAAAGTGTGAGAGAACCGGACAGATAAGAGAAGTCGAAAGAGGAATGAGAAGAAAAAAGTAAGGAAGACAAAAGGAGACAAGAAAGGAGACGAGATTAGTCTTCACACAAATGTAGGAACTGCTACGTTTCAGAGTGCAAATTGTACTAATGTCTCTGACACAGAGTCCAGATGATCAGTGTGAAGATTGTAGATACTAAAAATGAGCAGTTAGATGAGAATATCGACACCACTGCTACGTCTGCATGCTACTGAAGCTACCGCCAAATGCCTGTTAGCTTAGCTTATAGAGACTAGAAATGGCAGGGAAGAGCGACTCAGGGAAAAACTTTCCAAACGATGGTGCATTAAGTATACTGGGGAAACTTGAACAGTGAGTGAATTTTGACCATATATTGTTTTATTCAATTGCACACTGCTACTTGATGGAAGTGACATTTGCACTGTTAGCTAGCTAGCTATTAACGTTGTTGTTTGTGGTCATTTCTTATGGACAGCAGTATAGTGGTACGTTTAATAAATTGTGAAAAAAAAACACATGTATACGTTATTTTCAATAGTGCTTTGTTCACCAGAGCAATCAAGATCTTTGGTTACGTAGCCAAGATGGTGATTGTCGAGTGCAATACATTTCCAGCATTCCACACGCATCTGTTTAACTGTTTTGAATGCCCCATCCACGTACTTATAGTGCACAGCATTTCGCAATAGATTTGCTTTGGGACACACTTTAGCAATCAAAATAACACATTGAAGTATAGAAGTATTCATATTGAGACACAACAGGTCTTCATCACAACACACAGTATGACTTGTCATAGTAGGAAAAGCACAGGTGTTACTAACGATGGAACCTGAAATCAAAACAGCTAATTTGAATTCAGCCGTCGTTCTTTTAATTAGTTGCACCTGTTCTTATCCTTCTGCAACAAGTAAAAATGTGTTCTGCGAAAAAGGCTTTTATGTTGAGCATTTCTTTCAATACTTGAAAAGACAAACCAATTGTATAATTTTGAGTTCAATGTTAACCATACTGTTACACAACTTAGAGAGCAATCAGGTATGTTAGAGCATGATGTCATCCTGACAAATAGTTATGTGAAGGCTTTGTTTACCTGGGGATGCTAGGAGGGGCCCTGTTAGGGCGGCTGGGAGCCTGGGGGCTCTCAGCAGTGTTGTTGAAGGGCCCCAGGGGTCCTGGGCGGTTTGGTGGTGGCGGGGCCCCTCTTGGAGCCGGGCGCTGGCCTGAAGACATCCTCCTGGAGGAGGTGGGGCTGGATGGAGGAGACCTGCTGAAAGGAAAGGATAAAGGAAGGCATGGCAATATAACTCATTTTGTTGGACAACTTATTGTTCCAGAAATAACTGCAATGTCATTTTAAGACCACTGTTATAATGATAACATAGAAATGTAGACCCTTGATGAATAATTGTAAATAAAATGTACCAACAAAATTAAATTAAATGGAGTCACAGGCTCATTTAACAATGATTTCAAATATTCAACCCTTGACAAATGGTTGTCACAGACCTAGCCCAAGTCCTCGAATGTGAGGGAAAACTCTGCTTGTTACGCTGGCATCATGTCGGCAATTAAGTCAGCAAGATGATTAAGGTCATGTTAAAATATTGTTCCATAAGTATTTAACGTAAAGAAAATCCAGGTTGTGCCTATATATATCATACGATTAGTCTTTAGTGCAAAAATGATTGAGATCATGTCCATATATCATTAGATGATACTTTAACTTAAAAAATATTAATGCTTGTCTATGTGTCTTTAGCGTAAAATATATTAAGGTCATTTTCATATTGATATATATATATATATTTTGGATATATATATATATATACACGTAAGGAGATGTCCATGAATTGTGTTCAGGAAAGAAAGAGCACATAATGTCATCAGTTTAACTAAAGTCACTTTACCTGCGACCCCCTGCTCCTCCCACCCAGGAGTTATCAACAGGCGGAGGCATGGGGACGGTGAAGGTGGTGGTGGAGATGTCCCCGATGATGGCCAGGGCCTCCTTTAGGGCCTGGTGGGTCCTCAGCACCTCGTCCCTCCTCTGGGCCTGCTCCTGGGACTCGTCCATCAAGGTGTTCTGGTCCCCGGCAGAGTACAGCTGGGCCAGCAGCTCCGCGTTGATGAAGTCCTTCACCTGGAGGCAGGAGGAGGCGGTGCAGGGAGATGTATTCAAATAGTTAAATAGAAGAAATAAAGCATATGCCTTCTAATGGCATTTTCCTAATCAAAGGTTAACACTTTACTATTGGGATCATTAATGACAGTGTTATATTTAGAGAGAAGTAATTACAGGTTATATCTTTTAACTAATAATCAGAATTGGTTTTATTACCAAATATAAAATGTTACCATTTAACAGTTGAGTTGATTGTAAAATAATACAATTTAGGATCTACAAAAGCAAATAGGCTTAATAAAATACACCCCTAAATGGATTGTTTACGAAGTATACAAATCTCAGAAAATGGGCCGGTACACGAAAATGTTTAGTTGTTGGCTGTAGCGTGTTGCCTTTATACAGTAACAGCAAAGGAAATATGTCTACACGTCCTATAGAAATGAACTTCTGAGTAATCTTTTCTCACATTGTTGATCATGAGATGCATGATGGTTTTGGGCATGAGGTCCCGGATGCACTTGTTAACAATAGCCATGTAGGAGTCCACCAGGTTACGAATGGTTTCCACTTTACGCTCCAGCTGAGGGTCCATGGAGAAGTTCTCCGTGGCTGCGGTGGTCTCACTCTCAACCTGCAGAGGGAGAAAGGAGAGGGACTTTTCAAACAATGAAAGAGAACTAAATGAGAAAAGAGGGCCATACGTTTACAAAACACGTCGGTTAATAGTATCAATCACTATTTGATACAGAGGGCTTCTTTCTGAAATGAAATCTTAAATGTAAATGTAATGTATTTATTCTCAGTATTTCCCTACAAAATAAATAAATATAGAAAGAGTTCTAAATGTATTTAAATAAGAACAGGTAAATACCGTAAATATGAATATATTAAGAAAAGAGTGGTCCTAAAGCTCAGGAAAGAGTTAGCATTTTGCCACTTCCGCTTCCCTTGTCTCAAAGTCAACGTTCTTTTTTAACGGGTCTTCGATGCCTGTAAAAAGGCCTGCGGTTAATACAAACTTACTAGATTCTCATGTTTTGTTCAACGACATAGAATACGTCAGTAAACATACCACATGTGAATGTCTAGCTAGCGGTTGCAAACAAGTGGCTAAATAAACTACTTATCCACCACACCGGAAATTAGCGACCTTTAGCTTAGCGGTGGTGACACACAGCCATGAGACCGCCATGTCGTTTGTTTATAGGCTAATGTTAGCATTTTTACTTCTTGTGATTGCATTCACTCTTCAACTGAGTTGTGTTAATATGTGTCGATTATCCTGCTCAACAAAATGTGTAAGTAATAAATGTGTGTCAAAATATCTGGAATATTCTGAAATACTCCAAATACTAATGGAACCATGGCATTGATTATTGTCGAGTGAACCCTCCCGATGTTAACTTCCTGGTCGGCCTCCTAACATACATACAGTTAATCCCCACTCTAGACAGAAAGATGGAAACTAAAGGTAGGAATGTGTAACCCAGTGGGTAAAGGAGCCATTGATCAGAGAATTAAAGAGTTTGCTAACCGCCATGACTTTCTCAGGATAGACCCCGGCACGTAGGAGAGAGGATTTCCAGCTGTCCACGTCCTCCTGTGAGTCACAGGCCAGCTCCAGGGTGCGATTGTCCTTGTAAACATTCCTGAGCACCATGACACAGGAGAACATGCATCCATTTTAGACCACATGTGTGTGCATATGATTAAATATTAATAACCAACACTAACTACCCTTTGAATGATTATCTTTTTAGAAAACATGTGGACAATGTTCCCTGTTGTTGAAGTGTTCAACAACAGCATAGAAACTCAGACATCTGGAAGTATTGACAGTATTAGGTTATGTGCTTCCTTCCATTTGGGGTATTTTGTTGTTTAACCCTTTCTTAGGTCTTCAGCCAAGAAGAAAGTGAATTACCATCAAACTTTTTACAGAGCGTTCTGCACCGATTACTCAGAGTCCAGGCCTGATCCAGACTTTTTATACAGATTCACCGTGTTATGTATAGGTTACAGTCCTGGCCTGGCTTTTTTTCATACGTTTCATTTATTGAATATGTTACTGGTTCTAGAGATCTCCACACCACATGTTGTAATCCACAAATAATCAAAGACCAGCTATCACATTTCCAAAATATCATTGGTTGACCATCATTTAACCAATCTATTTTTAAAAACCGAAGAGCCTGCACTGCATCTTCTGGAAACTCTTTCCATGCTTTTGCAGCACAAAGTGGGAACATTGTTTCTGTTCAGAGAAACACTTGAGTGGGATAGTCATTCTAAAGAGTTCCTTTTTCTAAAAGTGGATTTATATTCTGTGAACAAGTGTATAGACTTTAATCGTCTAAATTGTGTAAAGTACTAATTTAGCTCATTATCATTTGTTTAATGTATGAATTAGCTTTTAATCCTGTAATTAGTTTAGTAGCTTGTCTCCATTTATTTTACGTATATTTCAATTCTAAATTGTGATTCTGGAATGTAAGTGAAACTAAGATTTTGTCATAACAGTTAAATATTTCATTGCTTAAATAAAATAGAAAAATCTTCTGATTATCTCCAGCAGGGGAGAATATGTATGAATCTCTTTTTCTTTTGTTTTGTGCATGTGGAATTTAGGTGAAGCTAACCTCCATGAAACATTTCATCTTTTACCTCACTTTACTGTGATTATTACAAATGAATAAAATGTGTTATCATTAAAGTTCCCTGTTTGTTAATGCCTACATTTTCCTTGAATTAATAACTATTATCAACCTACTATTACCACGTTAAAGGTGGGGTATGTAAGTTGGAGAAACCAGCTCGAGTGCGCTAGAATTTGAAAATACACAACCGGAAAAAATCTGTCACTTCCTTACAGAGCCCCTCCTCCAACACACACGAACGTGCACATGACCAATGAGGGCACGAGATAAGTTTGTGCACAGATGGAAGGCTGACAGGCAGGTAGGCCATCCAGTTATTTTAGCCGGGCCGGCTCAGATGATTGGTCGTGCTTTTTACAGCGCCACGGCTTCCACAGATTACATTTTTTATGGATTTTTTGTCAAAGCACTTAAAATATTCATTGCTATCGGGATGTTAAGAGCATTCCATGCAATATAACAAAAAGTGTATCTCGAAACGGTTTCTCAAACTTACCTACCCCACCTTTAAGACCTTCAAGTTTGTATTATTATCTGTTGCAGTAAATCACTGTAAAATGTTTGCTTTTGTAAACAAATGCAAATGACAAACTTCATAAACTAAGCTGTAGATCTTTTAGACATAGTTTCACCTTCTCCCAGCCTGCATACGTGCATGCAAGCATACTGTACAAAACACATCTAAAACATATTTCAGCCGCAGCAGCACACAGGCCCTGTATTCTCTAACTCCATCTACTGCATGTGATTGCTGTAAGGAATCTGGTTTTATGTGCAGAAATGAAAGATCTGCTGACCTGGACTCCGTGTTGAAAATACAGAATATGTGCTTGCTGGACAAGAAACTCTTCTCCACATCGCGGACCTTCAGGTTGTCCAGAGGGAGCATGTACTTCTTCTCCTTCTCCTGCAAATGAGAAGAACAGGCGGTATGGATCGTGAGCGCTTCTTATGACTAATGCAATTTTGTTGTTTTCCATGGATTCTTGTGCAACAAAATGTGGCCGTACGAGAAAGGTGAAATGGGGTTTTTAAAGAGGGAGGGGAGCAGAGAGAAAGGGGGTGACAGGAGGGAGAAGGAATGGGGGAGAACATGTGAGTGGGAGGTAGGGAAAGGGGGAGAGGGGGGAGGATAGAGAAAGAAAAAAGGGAGAAGGAGAGCACATGTGGAAGTCATTACAGTGTGGGTCAAGATGCAGTCGTTCTTCACGGCGCGTTTTGCCGGGGGAACGCTGGCAGCTAAAGCCTAAGTAAAGCGAGTAAGTCGGGGGGGTAATGGGGATAAGTCCGGCGGTTGGGGGTCCGGCACTCAAACACAACCTCAGAGGTAGAAGCTCAAGCACGGCTATGACACATGTGTTCATTGACGGACACTTTAAGACGTTTTTAACTTCATCCTAGCCTCCATCTTTTTAAACTCTCCCTGTCTTTTTTCTTTTATCCCTCCCCCCTCTATATTTTCTCAATATTTTTTCTTTCCATTCCAGAGGGGCCCACTTCCTGCCGGATTTTTTTTAAGGAGAAGGAGGGAGAGAGATTAAATGACAGCCTGGCGTTAAAACTCAACATCTGGTAGTGCTTAACGGCACACAGAGAACCAGGGAAGGAGGGAGAAGTTAAAGAGTCGGCGGGTGAAGGAGGAGGAGGAGAGAGCGATGAGAAGAAGCAACGCTAAAGTGGATTTGCACAAAGGTTTGCAGAAGAAAGCCCCCCATCTGGTCCGAAGGTCCGTGAAGATGGTCGCAGGTAAGGATTAAAGAGGATGAGAAGAAGGAAAGACAGGAAAACTCTGCAGACTCTTCTTGTGTTGTATTCCCCGAGGGGTCACCGCGGCCCATATATGGTCACACGGGTCCCCTCCCTCTTCCTCTCCTTTTCTCACCCCCACCATCTCTCTCTTTCCCTCTTTTTTGAAATATCCCCTCCCTGAACGTGCAGCCAGTCTGTCCCGGTCGTCTGAGCGAATGTGCCACGTCAAGGCTGGATACTCTTCATGGCCGGCGTGACCCAAACGGACCGCGAGGGGACTCCGGGCTTAAAAAGGTCTACCAAAACCAACAAACATGGCCAAGACACCTAAACAGTTTTGGGAGACGCGGATGAGGCACATTTTGAGGGGTTTGTGCCGAAAGGACCTGCCAAAATGGAGCGGGGGCGAAGGGAGGGCAGAGCCGCACGGCAGCATCTGGACCGGCAGAACGCAGCGCTCAGGGCCCGGCTCTGAGCTCCGGCTCCGTCTACCCAGTGTTCAGACTACCTGTTCATTATCATACTGGTGTACAGTAGTCTGCACATTGGTTAGACTGGGCACGGACCCTCTTCTGTCTCTCTGATGGCATTTCAGATCTCCGAGATGTGTGTGATTTTTTTATTTAATCCTTCCCTTTCTGCTAATATATGTACTATATTCATCTGTATTTTGTTCATTCTAACACTTCCTTTTCACTTCTGTTCTTGGAATAAACATACATCACCATTTTCAACACTAACTGCCGATTTGATAACTTGCTGTGAAAAAAACCCCTCAGAATTGTAAGATGTTTAGATGCACAAAATGGCGAGCTCTCATAATTTATAGCATGAATGAGTACGTTTGCAGGCTGCTAGCCTGGTGCTCTGATGAAGATGTGGTCCACTAGAAGGGGGGGAGGGAGGAGCGAGTGTTTGGCTGCGAAGCATCCAGCGCAGGCCAAAAGGAACCAGGGCCAATCAATCAAAGAGGAGTTTGAAAATACAGTCAGACACCTTCAGTGAGTTTATTTCAGTGGGTGGCCAAAATGGAGTTGGAAAGACTTTAAGGCAAAGGGACATTTATATTGCTGTGGGGTCAAATAACTGCAAAAAAGCTGTGAGGGAAAGTGTTTGCAGACGGATATGCACAAAGAGTATGTACAGACAGGATGTGTTCGTCCATTTAGGTGAGCTTTTTTATTGTTGCTTTGTGGTTAAAGTAGTAAAAGTCAAATAGCGGACTGTTGAATACTACCCATTATAAAGAGCCAAACAGTGACTCAGCACCTTGAAGTGATAGCTGCGTATGAAGTTGAAGGTCAGAAACAGAATCAAGGGATATTGATTTTGAATAAAGGGGTTTCTCTGTCGACATTTTTAGATTAGAAATGTGTAATTTTGTCGCCAAGAATGCAAGCACTTCCAAACCACACCAAGTGAAGAAGGAGGGTGTCGGTGTGTGTGTGTGTGTGTGTGTGTGTGTGTGTGTGTGTGTGTGTGTGTGTGTGTGTGCTAGAGCAGAGGAAGGAGGAGGGAGAGTGTGTTTGTGTGTGTGTGTGAGAGAGGGTTGGGAGGGGGAGAGAGTGTGTGCGTGACAGAGACAGACACAGTGAGTGTGTGTGTGTGTGTGTGTGTGTGTGTGTGTGTGTGTGTGTGTGTGTGTGTGTGTGTGTGTGTGTGTGTGTGTGTGTGTGTGTGTGTATGAGAGACTTTTACATATGTCTGTAAATGATTTTGGTTTCAGTTGTGTGTGTGTGTGAGCAGAATCGGATTGGCCATCGGGAGATTCGGGACTTTTCCCGGTGGGCCGCTCCCTTCGGTGGGCCGCTGGCTCTGGCATAGGTGGGCCGTGGACTTTCACACGTGCATGTGACTATAGAAAGTTCACGGGGTGTAAAAACTGAAATATACGAGGCGAAGCCAGCGCAGGCTATAATTTCCTACATTACCACACTAACGTATCGAATGACAATCTGTGCACGCGGCGCTGTGCGGCCCCTGGGTGCCGTCTGAGGGCTGAGCATGTGTTCATATATTTTGGGTGAGCGTTTGCTCGGGATTGGGACTGTTCCACATGTGCAGAGAAGAAGCGAATGCCTGAACTCCCAGCGGAAAGAGGTGGGGAGGGAAGAAAGAGAGAGAAAAGGAAGGCAAGCTCAGAGACAAAGAGAAGGATGAATGGGAAGGAGTGAAAACAAGAATCAAAACTCTTCATAAGTGAAATTAGAAAATATTAAAGTGGACTAACAATCGATACTGGATTGTCTCTATCAGTTTCTCCTTTCTCCCAAATTGCATCTCTCTTGGACCTGCACCCTCAACAAGGTTAACAATGCAGCAGCAGCAGCAGCAGCAGCAGCAGCAGCAGCAGCAGGCTGAAGGAGTTGCAGTGTGTCTGCCTATCTACACTTGCTGTGCAGAATATCCTCCAACCTGTACAGCAGGCACAGACAGGCAGATAGACATCAGCCCGCCAAAGAGCCCTAAAGAACTGACCAAAAGCTGCAACCAGTGTGCTTCTCTCCAAAACCAGCATGGCGTTGTGAGATATAATGATGTATTATCAATGATAATGAAAATAAAATAATACAATTCTGCTTTAAAAAAAACCTCAACATCAGATCTGTGTTATTCATCAATTCATTGTTCATTTCTGACTCCATTCTGCACAACATCTGGCCACTACAGAGGAGGATTAGGGTCACTTCTGGAAAATGTATTTTCAATCTGAGTTTAAAGTCAGAGACCAGATGGATTAAAAGATGAAAGCATGATAAACAATTCATTCCACATTTCTTTTGTTTTGCTTTGATTGTGTTTTCTTGTATGTGGGTTACGTTTCTTTTCATTCATTTATTATTTTCTGCCCAAATCCTCCCTGTAATGTTTTAGTGTACTGTATGTCTTAAGTATTGGTATTTTACATTATTTATTTTCTGTCTTCGTTGTAAATCTTCAAATTTTGACTTTATCGTCAAAATTCTGACAATTAACACAGATCTCAAATAAAGTGTTCACGTTCAGCCCTAATCTTCTTCCATAGAACATCAGTTTATTCTGACCAAATCTCATTGGCTCATCATCCTGATCTTAAAATTAAGGTGTTCAATATCAATAATATTAAATATTACACCCTCTGACTCCAGAGAGGAAATATCTGTCTCTTCTGTTGCTCAAATACCCTTGAAAAAATAAAAAATGAGTTCAAAGACATTAAACATTTAAGTGTCTTTTTATTTTTAGTCTCTTTTCTTTAAAGCTTAAACTCACCTCATCATCCTTGAACCAGGAGAGGCTCTCGGCAGTCAGCACAAACCAGTACTCCTTGGCTCCTCCCTTCATGATGCTGATGTTGTTGATGGTCAGCCAGCCTTTGCGAATGACCTGAGGGGAGGGCAAGGTCAAAAGTCAGAAATTGCTCCAAAGTAAAAATGACAGGAGCTCTTCATCCATAATAACTGGAAAACAATGAGCTTAAAATCAATAAAATGCTTTGTAAAGTTGAAGTGGAACTTCAAAGCGTTCTAGTGTCTTTCAGCTCATTGTTTTGATTATATTCCCTAATAAATCTGATAAAACAACTCACTCGCCTTTTAAAAAATCAACTCCAAACAACATATCATGGCTAGAGCTAGCCCAGATGCATCAGTGCAGGTAAAACAAAGCATGAATTGCGATGAAATGTGTGTGAAGGTTGGGGTTAGGTGTGTGTTTGTGACCTAGCATGTGACTGTGTGCCAGTGCAGTCTCATTCAAGGAACTGTGTGTCCACAATGCCACAAGCAGAGCCCAGTGTTAGCTAGTTAAGTGATCATTGTGTTAAGTGCTTCAAGCACACAATAAAGTGTGTGTGTGACAACTGGGTATTAACCCCACAAGCCCTATACAAACAGGCACTGTGCCAAGTGATTATTAGGTTAGATCACTGTCAGTCTCGCACCGCCTAAGACTCACTAAGGAGGTTACCCAAATCATTACAAAGCCTTACTGTCTTTGGCCAACAAAAGAGGTCTGTTTTGTGCCTGGTTACTAAAAGAACACTTTTTCAGATTTAGAGATGATTATTTAACAGCCAAACCAAGGACATTTTTGATTTCTATTTGTGGTTGGCAACCCCTTGTAGTCTGCGGACGCTGGTGGGTGGAGGGGGTGTTAGAGAGTAAACGTTTAGAGAGGAAACTCTTACAATCAGGCCTGATGCGGGAGGAGAGGAGGCCTGCAACAGGAAGGAATGTTGGGGATTTTAGGGAAAAAAAGCAACTTTTCTACTGCAATTAAAAGAAAAACGCCTCTGCCCAGAAGTAGCTAACACAGCCAATTTGCCTTTCTTGAACCCGTCCAGAGTGAGAAAAACGGACTCTTTTTTTGTTCATGGTGCCGGAGAACACCACACAATGGGCAGAAGTGTTACTGCAGGCACAAAATGACATTGCAAAACCATAACCCACAATGAGTGATACTCACCAACAGACACCCATAACAGGGCAGCTGAGATTCTCACTAAGGGATGGGGATGAAATGCAAAGTGGCACCTTGATGACACAGGAAGGGAGTTCAAACAAAGGGAAATGTCTCAACAACAACACCAGTGATGATGGTGGCATAAAGTAATAGAACCCAAATCATAAGACCAAACAAACAAACTGGTGCCTCTAAGCAAAATACACGATGCAACATATCAAATAATAATAAAATATAATAGAACATAAGGCTATGTATAATGTACATAACATAAAATGTGTGTGAAGATTAACTAAAATGAAAGGATCAGATCTTTCATTTGTTGTATTTTCTCTTCAGTAGCCATCCTGCTGCTGTGTAGGTGTGCATTTACTCCATTGACCTTCCGCTGTTTGTGTGTGTCGTATGAGACGTGACAGATGCTCACCTGATTTACAGCCGAACTCTGGCTCTTATTACTCTGACTAGTCCTCTGCTGCGCACTGTGGAGGTCAAACAACAACACAGAGGGAGAGGACGGGTGGATGAAGGGGAGGGAGAGGTGAATGAAGAGGAGAAAAAAACATGACAGGGTTAAGTGGATCTTCAAAACATTTGTTCTAAGCAGCCTGACATGTTTATTCATAAATAATCTATCATGGTGGAGCTATGCTAACAGATAGATGGAGTCTTTACTTAGCAAAGCCAATGAAGTCTTCGTGGTTAGTGTTGATGTATGAGAGCTGGATGTCTATCAGCAGCAGAACCTGTAACAACACAAAATATTAAACATGAAATAGGTCATTTTTATAGAAATACAGTCCTTTGATGTTTTCCTCAATACTCCTATTCCCTTTCTTTCAAAGAGATGGCATAGAAAATTGATACTCATCTTATTAAATATTTGCTAATTTGCATAACTTTTCAGAACAGGATTCAAAATGTTTTTCAAAATCGTTTCATTTTGTAGACATATAACAGTCAAAGGTTTTTAAAGAGGGAATTTCAGATATTACATAAAATCACTCGATTAATATTAATTATACTAATACTATTACTGTCAATTCTTTTGACTAAAAAACGAATTTTGAGAAAACCAATAGGCTTATACAATCAACAATTGTAAATAAGAGATATCATCATTAAACGTAACCAGTTGATTACTAACATAAAGGCAATATTGTTTCCAAGATTGTTTCACTAGCTTAGAAGTTTTCTAAAAGTGAATGTTTACATTTGAAAACAAGATGTTATTTAATTCTAAATGGGTAAATTAAGTAGAAATCTACAGACACAAATCAGTAAAATAAACACTTAAATGTGTAACTAACTATTTCAATTTCCCAGAGCATAAAAAACATTGCTGTTGTGGAGCCTAGCTAGCAGCTGTTTAGCTTAGCCTAGTATTAAGACTCAAGGCAGGGGAAAACAGCTAAATTGTCTGGCACATCAAACCACAACTTTTTATTTTCACACTTGACTTTTTATAAAGATTTAACAAACAAGACATAATGTGTGAGTACGTTAGCTTAAAAGCTCTTGCTATGTTGGTTTTCCACGTTTCCAGTATTTGAGCTAAGCTAAGCTAACAAAATGCTGCTTGTAGCCTCATTTTTATCATAAAGACCAAAGCTTTACTCATACAGTATGTGTTTTGTATGGATACAATGACAGATATTAATATGAAACTGTTTACTTGGCATTCATTTCACAGACATTCCCTTGTAAACAAATATCTATGGCCGTTATTACCAACTAATGATGTTACCTGATCCTTGGCCCGACCCTCTCTGTCTCGAATATGAGTAGTCACAATCCTCTCAGTTTCCTCTTGCAGCATGGGGAAGCATTCCAGCTGAAAAAAAAACATTTTACAGCTTAAAATGACTCACTCCATAAAATGAGGAATGTGGAACAAATTATAAAACACTTCGAAAAAACTGAATTTTTCAAATGTGAGCTCATCTTTCCATTGCTGTTTCTTTCATTTGTCCATCCTCTATCAACTACCCTTTCTTCCTTAATTCCTTCTTTGTTTCCTGCCTAATTCCCATAAAAGATCTCAACTCTGGAACTTGTCTCAAAGCAACGTGGTTCAGATTGTGCACTCCGTCTATGATTTATGTTCACGTGAGCAGTTTAACTAAGTCATTCTGGTGGCAATTATATCCATGCGTTTCATGGTTTGTATGTCAGCTAAATATATCAATATTTGTGTTTGTAAGCGTTGGTCGTTGCTGCTGAATTGGGTTTTTGACAACTTTTATTTTTTCATTTTCCAAATGTCAAAGCAACAAGTCATGCAGGCTGTTTTTATTGCAGTACGTTTATCTTTAGTGTGATTGTGGGGCATTGCACTGTTTTCAGAACCCAATGGCAGAAATATACATTTGCATCGATGCCGAAAATAAAGCAGACTAGTGAGTTACCTTGTTGGAGCACTGGCGCACGGTGTTAATCAGTTCCTGGATGACCATGTCCACACACTTGACGCAGGGCCCCTTCAGCTGCATGACCTGTTTCTTCACAATGGCCTCAAACGCCATGTCTGGGGTGAAGAGTCCAGTCCTGAAACACACAAAAAGGGAGGGAAAACAGGTACAATTGTGATGAAATTATGTGAATCTTTATTTTGGTTGTGTACTCTATACAGTCCATTTCTAAGTAAAAGAATGGTTCAATGCAAACATTTGTAATTTGTTGTGTCAAGAACCAGGCATAGATATTGGACCTGCTATTGTATTTGTACGGAATTCATGCTTAAATTTGGTGTTTTCTTTAAATGTCAAATGCTTTTTAGCTTGGGTGGCTATTATTTTGGTTTTGGTGACTAACCACTGCTGAGCCAGTGGCGTAACTATTGACGGTGCAGCCGGTACAACGCACCGGGGTCCAGAGCCGGCCAGGGGGCCATGCCAACAAAAAAAAATGGCATTGACCGGTTCACGCAGTCTTCAAAGTAACCAAGCAACCTAAATTAATTTGTAATTTGTCTGTCCAATGACCTTGCTCCCTTTCATGTCATGTGATACCTTGCGTGACGAGCGAACCGTTTAATCAACCTGTACTGTACTGTAGCTAGCAGCAGCAAGTTTGGTAGCATTATAAAAATGTAA